GTTTTTTCCTTCACAGATACTGCCTGACCTGCTGAGCTTTTTCAGCAACTTTGTTTTTGTGCCAGGATGCTGCCAGGAATGGAGGGTTTGATTCATAAGGAGAGGCTGGGTAGGCTGGGATTATTTTCACTGGAGCACAGGAGGTTGAGAGGTGACCTTATAGAGGTCACCTTATATGAGGAGATGAGTGGTATAGATAAGGTGAATGGCAGGTGTCTTTTCCCTAGGATGGCGTATTTCAAGACTAGGGCATATCTTTAACGTGAGAGGAGAAAGATTTAAAAAAGACATGGGGGCAATTTTTTTTACACAGACAGCGGTTCATGTGTGGAATGAACTTCCAGAGGAAGTGGTTGATGTGGGTACAGTTACAACATTTAAAATACATTTAGATAAGTACATGAATAAGAAATGTTTGGAGAGATATAGGGCAAGTACAGGCAGGTGGAACTAATTTAGTTTGGCTCCCATGGGGCCCAAAGTGGGACAGGACATACCCAGGGATAGTGATGGTGTTGTCTGGGACAGTATGCATTAGAGATGATAACAGGGGTGTGGCTACATCAGTCTGTTGCTTGACTAGTTGGTGAAACTCTTGAATTTTAACACGAGTCCCGAGATGTGAGTAGGGAGGATTTCTCATGGTCGATAGGGCTGAGTTGCTTTGTCAATTCCAGTATCTAGGTCGATGCCAGATGGTCCATTCAGTTTCATTCCTTAATTGTTATTTTGTAGCAGGTTGATACATTGAATGGGTTGCTAAAGTGATTTCAGAGGGCAGTTAAGAGTCAATCCCATGGCTTTGGATCTGGAGTCACATACAGGCGAGACCTTCCTTTGAGATTTGCAAAACCAGATGTGTTCTTACAGCAATCGACAATGGTATCATGGTCAGCATTAGACCATGATTTTCAGATTATTACAGATTTTAAAATCCACCAAATTCTGCAATGGTGTGTTTCAAACACAGATTACCAGGACATTACATGGATCACTAGCTTAGCAACAGTGATGCATTATATTGAAGATTTATAAAGAACAATCACTATGAAGGAAATACCTGTTTGTAGTACTGAAGATGAAGAATGCGCTGGCATCGGGCATGGGAACAGCCTTCTCTTTTATATGCAGTTCAGAGAGTGGCCGAGGACGTGGTCCTACAGGCATTTCTGGCTCATCATCATCTTCATCTCCTGAAGCAAGAAATTTTAGGCTAGTTATTGCACTGTGGAATGGACAGCATTTCCCAGTCAATATGTTTTTAGCCTTAGTTGTAAATTTTCCTGTTATGCCTTTGTTGGCTACACGAATGGCATAAATCCAGCAGAAAACATTTTAAAGTACAATCAATTTAAAAATGTTTTACTGGTTTTGGTAATTTGCATTTTATTTATGTGCAAGTGCTTGGCAGCTCAAACAAAATTACAAGATATTTTGTTTTTCAATCATATTTGCATAGTAACTTCTCCATAATACATTCAACCTTTGGTTATGTGGAGCATAAGATAGAATGGTCCTCTACATTTTCTTCTATTTACCATAATTGATCCTGTTATCTGCAAAACACCTTCTAACTTAACGTCACACATCTAAGTTTGTGTGCCTCCTCTTTTTAATCTATATTTGGATCAAGAATTTTCTTCATATTTCTCAAATGATACAGGCCTAGTAATTCCTTGTATTATTGTTCTTTCAAAAAATTCATGTCATTTGATGTATGGTCCAACACAATCATTTTATTGACTGTAGTTTTTGTCTGAAAACCTACATATTTTGCTGATTAAGGTTACAGGCGAGGACTTTTTTTTAAGTAACAGTCCTTTTAAGTAATGGCTGTATTAATAAGTTTAGCTCAAAGATTCAAGGTGCCCTGAACTACTAGTTCTGAAGAAGGGTAACAAGATCTGAAATGTTTTAAAATCACAGAATCCCTACAGTGTGGAAACAGGCCCTTGAGCCCAAGAAGTCCACACTGACCCTCACAGTATCCCACCCAGACCTATCCCCCTAATCTGCACATCCCTGAACACTATGGGTAATTTAGCATGGCCAATCCATCTAACCTGCACATCTTTGGACTGTGGGAGGAATCCGGAGCACCTGGAGAAAACCCACACAGACACGGGGAGAATGTGCAAACTCCACACAGACAGTCGCCTGAGGGTGGAATCGAACCTGGGTCCCTGGCGCTGTGAGACAGCAATGCTAACCACTGAACCACTGTGCTGCCCCTCTCCACAGATGCTGCCAGACCTGCTGAGTTTCTCCAGGAATTTCTGATTTTGTTTGTTTCAGATCACCAGTGTCCATAGTTCTTTGTTTCATTTTAGAGCTGAACGAGCTGAACTGCTTTCCTGCCTAGTCTTTAAATTACTTGCTCTGTCAAAGTACAAAACAAATTCAAAAGCTAACATCTATTATGATGCATTCAATGCACTCTGACCATTATTTCTATCGATCTGAGACAATAATTGATATTTTTAGTCCTCCAGCACTGTAATTTAAAAATGGCTTTTGACAACACTTTTTACAAAATTTCTTGGCTCCTGTATCTCCCATATTTCGCACAATATATCATGTTCCTTGATTGGGAGGCCAGACTGATTTAGTTTATAAGCATATCCCTGGATGTAAGCCTCCTTCATTCAAATTTAACCTAAGCTGCAGGCAAGGTTCAGAATGCCCTCATATTCCAGATTTCAGACTTCTCTCCCTTTCAGAATCATCTCCATCACAACACACAACTTATCTGTGCTTCACTAAACCTTAAACAGTAAATCAACTGAGACACTTCTTGTACATTCGTTTGTAACTAATTCCAAATACCCAGAAATAGACCATCTGCTTGATCTTTTGGGTATTTATTTTCTTGATTTCTGATCCTCAGTAATTGCAATTCATTGTAAAGAGAGAGGAGGGCAAAAGGCACCAGGCAAGTTCAAATGGGAGAATCCTCTTTTGATGAAGAATACATTGAACAAAGCCATATTTTTCATAGAACTATACAGTACAGAAGAGGCCCTTCTCATTTTGTACAATTTTTTTTGTTCAATTAAAGGTGCATTTACATTGCATAGGAAAACACAGTCTTCATTTGTTGGATTATTTTGTTTTGAACCGAAATATCATTAAAAGACAAGTGAATTCTAAAAGAATTCGAAGGTTTCACAACAAAATCCTAGAAGTATTACCTGGAAATTCATTGGTACGATAAGGATTCTTCTCTTCATTGTCCTTAACTTGATAGTCTTCCAATTCAATCTATGACACATGAAGAGAGATTATTGGTGATTTTTGAAAATAAAGTAATATTCAATGTTACTACCTTTGAAAAATTATCACAAATGATCAATGATTTCAAAGGAAACTGCATGGAGAGTAATTTAATGGCACATCACTGAAATATTCTATAGCAGAAATTTTCTTTTATTCATTCAATGGATGAGGGTGTTGCTGGCTATGGCAGCATTTATTGCCCATCCCTAATTGCCAGAGGGCAGTTCAGAGTCAACCACATTGCTGTGGGTCTGGAATCACATGTAGGCCAGACCAGTTTCCCTTCCCTGAAGGACATTAGTGAACCAGATGGGTTTTTCCTGACAATCGACAATGGATTCAGGGTCACCATTAGACTGTTAATTCCAGATATTTATTGAATTCAAATTCCACCATCTGCCATTGCGGGATTCAAACCCGGGTCCCCAGAACATTATCTAGGTCTCTGGATTAACAGTCCAGCGATAATTCCATTAGGCCATCGCCTATGAGAAATAAGAGATGAAATGTAATTTTTCCAGTTCTGATTTGTCTTGTGTTTTTTTAACCCAGAAATCTGTTATCCTGTTTATGAAAGTAAAGTTCACCAAGAATTACACAAACATGCATAATTACATTTTACTGTCCTTAATCAGTCCTGAACCATGAGCTGGTAGAAGTCATCTTCCAAATAATAAATCAGTGATTTAATTTGTGATTACACTGCTAAGCTTGCAAATAAACCTGTTTGTTTTCTTTACCCATATAATCACTTTGGGGTGTTTTACTTTGTTAACCTTGCTATGTAAATTCAAATCACCACTGTAAACATAACTTTTATACTAATGGACAGGAAAACCCCTGATGCACAATAAACCCTAAGATCTCAGATGGAAGTTAGGCAATGAAGTGTGCTCCTGTTCATACAGGGGAGAGAACAATGTATGGGCCAAGCTTGAAATGTATTCAAGACCAAATAACAATGCCGAGAGGCGCTGGCTACATGTTCACTTAAGTTAGGTCTGCACTAAAATAAGGGTGCAGAACATATATGACATTATAATTAGCATTTTATTTTACAGTATTAAACAAAACTTTTCATTCTCAATGCGGCTGCAACTGCATGTATGTGGAAGTACAAACTTTACTGGGTTCAACATGAAATCCTGGTGAAGGCATCAGCAGTGACGAGTGTGCCCAGCAGCACACACTCATGGCCGCGGCATCAGAGGTGAGTTTGATTTCCGAGCAGCTTCTGCATTGTCAAGGCGCCCCTAGCGCCAACTCATGGCAGCTGCAACGGAGGTGAATTTGGGTCCCTAGTGGCACCTGCATCTGGCCCAGATTCATGGAGGCGGCAGCAGTGAGTTTGGATCCAGTATGAAATCAAATGGCACCAGCAGCAGCTGCTTGGCAAAGTGGGCCCGAAGTGGACTCCTGACAGCAGCAGAGTTGAGTTTGGGTTGGTGTGGTACCCAGCGGCATCAGTTTCTTCTGCCTTGGCGAGCTCTGTCAAGGAGCGTGGCATCGGTGGAGGTAAGATGGCATCGAAGAGTGGCGACTTTTGTTAGTAGTGATAGCACGGCAAAGGGGACTTGTGCCTGGCCACCAGGACCATGCCCATGACAAATCACATAACAAGAATGACTGTAGAGCTGAACACTTTTTCTTTATTTCTTAATTTTTCTGTCTTTATATTCTATGTTTTAGTTTATTTTTCTGTATTTTAAGATGGTGCCAGAGAATGGCAACACTATATAACACTTTTCCCTGTATTTTGTAACAAAATACACATGACAATAAAAAAATCAAATTAACGTCACTCAATGAGTTTTACAGAATTTGAACATTACAATCTATCACTTTCAGATTCAATTTGAATCCATGTTGCAGTTTTTAACATGTTGCAGTGCTGGTATAAAACAAAGAAATGAATGTGGAAGCTCTTTTGTTTCTCCTGCAGGGTTGGGAAATGGACATAAATCCTGTTTCCAGGTCCAAATCCTGCAAAAGTCTCATCTCTGACTTGCTCTTGCAGCTATAGCATTTATATGGCTGGCCCAGTTCAGTTTTTGGTCAATGATAAGACCCACAATATTGATAGTGGGGTGGGGAATTCAGCTAATGGTAATGTCAGTTAATATCAAGGAGTGATGCCTAGCAAATCTTGTTGGATATGGCCATTGCTTGGCGCTTGTGCTGTGCAAATGTGGCTTACCACTTGTCAGCCCAAACCTGGCTATCATTCATGTTTTGCTGCATTTTGGGCATGGACTTCTCTGAGGAATCACAAATCGTGCTGAACATTGTACAGTCATCAGTGACCACCACTTCTGACCATATGACTGAGAGAAGATTGTTGATGAAGCAGCTGAAGATGGTTGGGTCTAAGACACAACCCTGAGAAAATTCTGAAGAAATGTCCTGGAGCTGAGATGATTGACCTCCAACAATGACAATCACCTTCCTTTTGCTACAGATGGCTCCAACCAGCTAAATTTCAATTTTCAAATGTGTGATCAACTTCAACAAAATAGCCAATACAGGAATTTAGTTGCAAATGCTAACAGCAATACATCGATGGAATTATTGCCCTGCATTACTTACTGTATCTCTAGATAACTTTTTACTGAGACCTTTAGAACAGAAATTGATGCAAAATGTAATCCAGACACAGATTCAATCTACTGGACACAACGATCCCAAATTGAGAGTACAGCTACTGAGAGAGGAGAAACTGACTTTCAGGAAAGCAATTAACTCATGTAGAAATGCTGGGGTTGTAAATTAGCAGCTAGAGCATATACATGGCAGGAAAAACTAAGCCTCACATTATGTCGATAGATACTCTAGTTCCAAAGTGCAGGAACAATCATGGATAAAAACAGAATGAAAATGCGGCAGGAGACATCACACAAAAAGAAGGCATGTCCAGCATGGGGAAACGAGTGTTCTCACTGAAAAGAGCCGAATCATTTTTCACACAAGGGAATGACAAGAAGAAATTGTTCAAAACAAGTATTCAAGGTCACTGTAGCGATATCACCTGACTCTTATGAATCGCTCTACACATAACAATTTGGTTCAGTCAACTTGAAAGGTGGTAAATAGTTTGTGATTGTTGAAATGGAGATTGCAGACGTAGCGTATCAAGTCAACATGCAGTTTCAGATAGACACCAAAGTGCCAGTCAGTATCATGAACTTCACAGACCTGTGCAAAGTGAGCCAACATGGTGAGCAAAAGATTAAACCAGTGATAGTAAGATTGTGTCTATATTATTGCACCATACTTGTCTCAAGAGGACAGAATACTTTGTCAGCCCAAAGCAGTTGCAAGAATAAAGATCTGGAATTCCAGATCATAGATGGTAAGCAAAAACCACTCAGCTGGAGCAGTTCTAAAACTTGGACTGGTAGCCTTCAATCTAACAAAAGAGATATAAAATGTAAAACTGAAAGGACACAGACTTGATTGAGTTTTTTGAGGATGTAACCGAAAGGATTGATGAGGGTAGAATGGTAGATGCTGTTAACTTGGACTTCAGTAAAGCCATTGATAAGGTTCCCCATGGTAGACTAATTAGTAAAGCTAGATCATATGGAATTCAGGGTGAGCTTGCCAATTGCATACAAAATTAGCTTTAAGGTAAAAGACAGGGGACGGTGGTGGAGGGTTGTTTTTCAGACTGGAGGCCTGTAGCCAGCGGTGTTCCACAGGGATCGGTACTGGGTCAGATTTTATTTGTCATTTATTTAAATGACCTGGATGAGAATATAGGAAGCATGGTTCGTAAGTTTGTGGATGACAGCAAAATTGGTGGCACAGTGGACAATGAATAAGGTTATCTAAGATTACAAAGAGATCTTGATTAATTGGGTCAATGGGCTGAAGAGCAGCAGATGGAATTTAATTTCGATAAATGTGAGATATTGCATTTTGGTAAAACAAACAAGGGAAGGACTTATACAATTAATGGTAGGACCCGGATAGTGCTGTAGAACAGAGACAGCTAGGGGTTCAGGTACATAATTCTTTTGAAAAAATTCACATCACAGGTACACAGGGTGGTCAAGAAGACAGCAGGTCAGGCAGCATCAGAGGAGCAGGAAAGTTGACATTTTGGTTTTATACCCTTCAAAGGGTGTAAAACCAAAACGTCAACTTTCCTGCTCCTCTGGTGCTGCCTGATCTGTTGTGTTCCTCTAGTGCCACACTGTATTGACTCTGACTCCAGCACCTGCAGTTCTTGCTATTTCCAAGTGGTTAAGAAGAAGTTTAGCATGCTTGCCTTCATTGCTCAGACCATTGAGTGCAAGAGTTGGGACATCATGTTGAGGTTGTACACGATATTGGTGAGGCCTTTTCTGGAGTACTGTGTGCAGTTTTGCTTACCCCGTTATAAGGAACGATACTATTAAACTGGAGAGGACTCAGAAAAGATTTACCAGGATGTTGTCAGGAACGGAGGGTTCGAGTTATAAAAATAGGCTGGATAGGGTGTGACTTTTTTCACTGGAGCATCGGAGGTTGAGAGGTGGCCTTATAGTGATTTATAAAATGAGAGGGCATACTTTCAAGGTGAGATGAGAAAGATTTAAAAAAGATACAAGGGGCAAGTTTTTATTACACAGTAAGTGGTCATTATGTAGAATGAACTGCCAGAGGAGATGGTGGATGCAGGTACAGTTACAACATTTAAAGTCGTTCAGATAAATACACGAATAGGAAGTGTTTGGATGAATATGGGTCAAACGCAGGCAAGTTGGGCTAGTTTAGATTGGGTACATTATTGGCATGGAGTAGTTGGATTGAAGGGTCTGTTTCCATGCTGTATGACACTATGACTCTTTGACTGTGGGTGCTGGAAATCAGAAGCAAAAAAAAAAGCAAAATTTGCTGGAAAAACTCAGCAGGACTGGCAACATCTGTGGAGAGAAATCATAGTTAACTTTTCAGGTTCAGTGAGACCCTTCTTCATGTGTTGCAGCATGCTGATAAGAGAT